CGGTTCGTGGTGCGACCGACAATATGGTGTACCGCCCCAAACTGCCCTGCCATAATGTACTCCTTTATACTGCCCCAAACCGTCCCAGCACTCTTAAGTTTTCTTGATTTCATCATAAAAATTAAAATTGTAAATTAATGTAGTACATTGTGCAAGTGGTTTTTTAAAAGAAAGAATGGCCTACATATTTTCGTGCACAATTGCACATGTACATGTACAATGTATGCATTCAGCAGATGTGTTCATATGTAGTTTGTATGGTACATACATTACATGTACATGTACATTGTATGTACGTGTACTACACGTACCTACATGTACATTTGTACATGCACGAATAGTTTGCTACACTTGACTAACTACGGTACATTCATATACAAACACATGATAATTATTCACATAAACAGGTGTGTACACATATGCTGAATTGCCATTAAATCATACGCTGTGAAATTGTATTTAAAGGGAATATACATCATTTGCTTTTGCTGTAATTTTCAGAAATGGATGGAATTGGGGGGTTGGAAATATATAGCAAATATAGTTACACTGACTTTTTTGAGGTTTTGGGTTCGAAAATGCTATAAAAACCAAGAAAAACAATCATTTTCCTGTAGTCTGGTTCCCTGACTCCATTTAAGAAGAAACAGAGCAGTTTACATATATTGGGGAATTGTAAGGTCAGGGAACCAGTCTAGCTGGCTTGTACCCGTTCATATAGGTGTGTAATCGATTGCAAACAAGTGCGATGGTCAACTGGGGCCAGTATTTGAAAAAAGCCAGTTTTTTTCCAACGCTGATCGGCCGATCAGCGTTGGAAATTGATACAAAAATACCACTTTTCTTGAAAATGACAGTATACCATGTGCCATGATTTTACAGGATGCTTTACACTGTCATTCACTAACAGTCCAGCAAGGTATTTCAAAATGATTTGGTAGTTTTATTTTTTGATGTTTGCAAATGTTGTATTTTCCCTTTAAATAACACGCACACATCATCACATTTTCATATAACTGTCATGTAGTAAAAAAAAAATTAAAAATCAATAGTGTAGACTTATATACCCTGTATGAAATAAAAAGGTTTTGAAGTAAATTAAAAAAAAATACGAGGTATATTTTCATTTTTAATGTAATTTCCACAAAAATGTGCGTTGCATATGATTATGAGCCTTGCTATCAATTTCTTGTTTACAACTGCTCCAGCCCAATTTTGCCTTTTTTAACAGAAGAAGTGACAATTCCTGAAATTAATTTTTACAGATTTTGAGGATCTGAGATTTAGACGTTTTAAAAAATCATGAGGCAATTTTTTAGAAATCCTTTAGTTTCAGCAACTTTGAGAGACCATTTTGTTATTAGTCTAAGTACATGAAGGCTATTATATGGCTAGAAATATATTTTTTTTTTAAATATAAAAATAAAATATACACAAAGATTGCTTGCAAACTCAGAACAGAACATATACCCGTAGATGCTACGCGTAAAATATACGGTTATTCCAGTGATATCAAAAATTGAATTATTGACGTTTTCAAAACTATTTTCTGAATATAAGCAAACTGCCCTTTGGAACCACTAGCACGACTTGAATCAATATAATGACAGTTGCAACCGTGGCTTCAGTGAAAGTGAAATACTGCCCTCTAGTGTTGAAAGCCTGTCCCATATCCCACCCTTAACTTGTGAATGGTCATTGTACATGCTACGAGTGCCTTCATAAATACACACACTCTTCAAATTGGCTCTTGTGTGGAAGCTGCACACCGCTGTGATTCACCGTTTAGCACGCTACATTGTACGTGCCGTACACTGCAGTGTACCATGGAGGAATGATAACTCACATTTTGTATTCGGCCGGCGTCTTCAACAAAACCGGTACGTTGATTTACGCAGTATTATTGCGATATTAATTCTACCGTTCCTTCTATGCAAGATATATTTTAAAATGATCAATCTTTAATCTCAAGGAAATCTCAAACCCACCTTGAAAGCAATTTTGGTTTTTGTGATAATTGTTTTTCTGTAATTTAGCATTTTATGAACGATGGATGTTTAATTTCAATCTCGAGTGCTCGCAAATCTTCCTTTGAAATCAATTTTTTTTTTTTTTTGGCCAAATTGTTTCTCTGTAATTTACATACATAAAGGTTTTTGCATTTTGTGAACAATGGATGTGTAATTTGAATCTCAAGTGATTCTAAAATCTACTTTTAAATCATTTTCGATCTTTTGTTTTACATGTAATGTACCATTTGTTTTTCTGTAATTAAGCTAGCATTTTATGAATGTTGGGTGTTCTATTTGAATCTCAAGTGATTCGCAAATCTTCCTTGAAATCAATTTTTGATTTTTTTTTGTGACAAATTGTTTTTCTGTAATTTACCCAGCATTTTATGAACGATGGATGTTAAATTTAAATCTCAACTGCTCGCAAATCTTCCTTGCAATAAATTTTGAATTTTTTTGGACAAATTCTTTTTCTGTAATTTGGCTAGCATTTTATGAACAATGAAATTTCAATCGCAAGTGATTCGCAAATCTTCCTTGAAATCAATTTTGATTTTTTTTTTGATGACAAATTGTTTTTCTGCAATTTAGCTAGCATTTAATGAATGATGGATGTTAAATTCGAATCTCAACTGATTCTCAAATCTACCTTGAAACCAATTTTGGTTTTGTTTTGTTTACAAACACTGTTTTTCTGTACGTAAGCTTACATTTGATACATTTTTTCGTATTAAAATGATGATTGATAAATTTCATTTTCAAGTAAATTCTCAATTCTAACTTTAAAGCATATTTTAATTTTTTGGTTTTTTTTGACAAACCGTTTTTTAATTAATGTGCATACGATCATGCGGTGACTGCTCTATGTTCCGACACCCTATGTTCCGACAACCTAGATTGTGTTACTCCCGGTTAGGGTTAGGGTTAGGGTTAGGGTTAGAAATATGTGCAGTCGGAACATAGGGGTGTCGGAACATAGAGGTGTAACTGATCATGCAGCTCACATTTAATGAATATTGTAGTTGGGTTTTACCGTCCTCCGATTGTTTCTGGTCAGTTATTGTCACATTCCATTGAGTTCTTTTCACGTGGTGCATCGATAATGAGCTGTGCTTTTTACACCTTTGCGTTTCTTACACCCGATGGGCAAAAATAATTGGGACCGTTGGATCTTTCACACGGCCTGGAATTTAGAGGTGTGCGCTGTGTCAATTAGAGCGGTGTTTGTTTTGCTTCAGGGCAGGGTAAGTCAGTGTTATCTGGAACATGCATTGCATGGTCTATTCCTTCATGGTACATCTGGCAGTGTGCTGTGAAAAAACTGACACCTCAGAAACTTCTATTTCTATTTGCTAACTTTGTTCTTTTGTGCTGGTACTGTACTAGAGCTACATGTATAGATTGCATTGTATGATCGAGTATAATTTGGAAATGTTGGGATAGAGTTTAACCAACAAATAGCTGTCCGGTACTGACATTGTAAGTATATGAGGGTGCACACCGGTAAATCGATCCGCCAAGCTCATGAATAAAAGTTATACCCTCAAAATATTCTATATTAGAGAGTTCTGAGCGCCGTAAAATTGGGGAATTGAAGAGATATGGTAATGAACCTCTGGCCCAGACTTGGGGCTTCCAATTCTGAGCATTTTGGATGCTATTGGGCTCGAAAGTGGCGCTAATTTTGCCATGTTGTGGAGGGATCGTTTTTCAAGATGGCTACTTTTCCGCTTTGGGGAAAATAGGGGTCGTCTTCTTTGGGTGAAAATATCTCGAAAAGTCAACGGTCAACCCACCAAAAATTGAAAAGAAAACGAAAGATGACATGTTGATTATCATTTTTCTGTGCAGCTTGAATACCTGTGAGAGTTTTGAGTATTTTTAAAAGAATTTTGAAGTATGGGCATTTAGCACTAGTGTCTATGGGAGTTTATTTGCAGGTATGCATCCATGAGGTACATGTACATGTAAGGGCTCAGCGTGCACAAATACTCCTTCAACAGCCAGCAGAGGACAGTTAGGGGAGACCCAGACTGGTTCCCAGTCCATCCACTGCGTACTTTGAATAATCCAAAATTATGCGGGCTGGGATTAATCTGGGAGAACATCACAAGATAAATTCGAACGTACCGGTATTCACGTGCCGACGACCCCTGGTGCTCACGCGAAGACGCTGTGGCCAATAGCTTTGGCATCCCTATGTACATTCAGGAAGTCGGGCGTTTTTCGCACGCGACCAGTTAGTACAGTACGCACATGCTGTGACTGTTCCGTCCATGGAACTCTCAAAAGTGATAAAAACGCGCCCTCTTTTGTTGGCACACGGAGCCCTGGACTGCTTTTGGCTCACTGCAGAAAATTCTAACTTATCGATTCAAAATGAAAATTGGATTGTACAATTTCACATTGTACATGTACCGTACATGTATACACATTTAATTTATAAATATATCACAGTTGAATGATGTGTGCAATACATGCCTTATTGTATGCATTTGAATGTACTGTAATTTACATTAAAGTACATTTGTACAAATGTAGACATGTCGCAATTCAACATGTTCATGTTTACAAAAACATTTGGCAGTTGAAGTTTTTTTTTTTTTAGACATGATTCAGAATTTAAATAAAATGCTTGAGAATTTGTTTTTGCTTGTTACCGGTGGGTATTTTTGAGTGAAGGGGATTTAGAAATCTCTCAATCTCCTAATCAATCTCCTAATCAATCTCTCAATCAATCTCTCAATCAATCTCTCAGACATTTTTGGAGAAATGTAATAATCTCTGAAAGTAAAAGAAAATTTGAGGTGTTTACTCTGAAACTGAATTCATGTAACACTGCGGCATACCACATGTCTTTGCAAACACTAATACTGATTTGCTACTTTCATTGATACTACATGTGTCATATTTCAGGAAATACGTTTTCGAGGAAGTCATCATCAATAATACAATTATTATTGTTTCCGTTCTTCCTTGCTCAAACAGCCGACAGTCATACGGCAGAGGCTGCTAGAAATCAAGAAATCGCAGGAGTCCCAAGAGTCGGCCAACCCAACCCGAGAATCGGCGACGTCAGACGAGTCGGTGCAGAGTCCAAACAGCGTCGATGAAGGGTACATACCTAGCCCCGGTGGGCCGGACTCGACGCTGAACACCAACAGTAACAGCTCGGTTAACGGGATCATGCCGGAGATGGAACGTCTCGGCAACGACCTCCCCGTGACGGTCTTACCGGTGGGGGAAGTCGCTCAATCGTGGCAGACGCTAGCTCAACAGTATAACTTCTTCCAGTTGGAGGTTCATCTCAAGGAGGGAGTCGATCTTGCCATTCGAGACAGAAGCGGTAAGTATTGGGGCTCTTCACAAATTAGATTATATTCCCCGAACATATTATTTTGGGTCACCTTCGCTCAATAAACAGATTTGTTCTGTATTAAAGAGGTTGTGGAATGCTCGGAGACATTTCCGTCATTTTTCGGGTATATGTAGCCTAAGGTGTGATGAAATAAAAACGACTATTGTTTCTGTCATGAAATGAGTACAAAGGGTACTTTTGAGAGCTACATGTACATTGTATTTTTCAGGTCCTGTTTCGACCCGAACGTGCAATTTGTGTAAAAGTCGTCGTTGCGGGCAGCAAACAAAACACAGTAAATCGTGACGTAATAAACAGGACTCGTTTATGCTACTCTGCATCGGGAGTTCTGTTTATTACGTCACAATTTACTGTTTTTTGTTTGCTGCCCGCAACGATGACTTTTACACAAATTGCACGTTCGGGTCGAAACAGGCATGACAGGACTTGAAAAACAGCTCTCAAAAGTACCTTTTGTACTCATTTCATGACAGAAACAATAGTCGTTTTTATTTCATCACACCTTAGGCTACATATACCCGAAAAATGACGGAAATGTCTTTGAGCATTCCACAACCTCTTTAAAAGACTGGTTCCTACATTTGTACATGTATGGGTCATTTCACCTGGTTGGGACACAGCGTGTGTTACATCCAAATATTTGGTTATATTATCAAAAGTATTGATCAATTGATGTATAAATTAAACAACTGTTTAACATAATTTTAGTCTTAGGGTGTTTCAATACTTAAGAAAAGCTGAAATCATTTGAAAGTAGCTTTTACCAAAATATGAGCAAACGTGTGAATTCAGACGTAACATTGACACCGTGTAAATGTTACAGTGTACAAGTACATGTACATCCAAATATTCTAATTTTGCCATTTCTTTACCCATTATGTAAAATAATACCCAAACTGACATAGCATATTTTTAACTTGACACCTAATGCACTAAGAAAAGCTTTTGTTTTGATATACTGTAGTCAAGGTTAAAATATATATCAGAAACAATAACTTAAGGTTGACGTAACGGTGTCAATGTTACTTCTACAACCAAGTTATCATTTCTGCTCCATTTGATACCTGACTAACATAATAAAGCTTATATAAGATTTGAGGCTTTGCAGGGTTCTGACGATGACTCCTGACGATGACTAGAGCAGGCTAGTCGAAACGTTGAGACCAAAGACAAGTTCGTTTAGAACTTACAGCAGGACTGTTCTTATCAGAACAAAAAAAACAACTACTTAGCAAAGTTGATAATAAGCAGGACAAGTTCTTTTCAGAACTAATATCTTCTAAGCAGTAGTTATTACCACATGGTGTTACCGCAAAACCGAAACGATATCTAACTTCTCAAACCGAAACGATAATAATAAAGCTTTTCCTCAGTGTGTTGCATGTATAGTAAGAAGTACATACATTGAATTTGGGTAATGTTTACAGAAATTAAAAAAATAGTACATATATATATATAACATTTGGACGTAACATTGACACCATGTTGATGTTACGTGATGTCAATAAGTAATTATTCCATAACTAAACAGGATTCAAATTTTTTTGGAGTTTCTAAAAAAAAAAGGTTTTTACTTTTTTTTTTCATTTCCCAAATGCATGCAACATGTCGATGTTACGTGATGTCAATAAGTAATTATTCCATAACTAAACAGGATTCAAATTTTCTTTGGAGTTTCAAAAAAACAACAGTTTCTACTTTTTTTTTTCATTTCCCAAAGGCATGCATTTTTTAAATAGATATTTCATTAAAAAAAAACAGCTAATCAAAAAAATGATTATTTATACCTTCGCATTTTTGTACACTGTACACTATCATGGCAAATCCCGATTGAGTTCATGATTGATGGTTTAATTTCTATTCCCCTGGAGGGCCTTTATGTAGCCTCATCAGCTTGTACAGTTGTTCTACTTGCATATCTAATATTGGTGCAATGGCAAACATTGATTAAACACAGGAGAACAGTAATTAATTTCGGGGCACAGAATAAATCCAATTTAGTGTCTGGACACCGGCTTGCAAAAAAAAAAAAAAATACACAATAAAACAGCTGCTTTGAACTAGAAAAGTGGGTGAAATGTTTTGCAGGTTGAATATTTTTCGGTTATTGAAATTCAACTCAAAGGGGGTTTTTATGCAAATGTTTTGTTGGCTACATTGATGTTAAAAGTCGTGTCATCTGGAACTAATGGGTTTTTTTGTAAAGGGGACAGCAACTTGTAAATTTGTATCAAAATTAGTCTAGCTGGGGGAGAAATCGGAGATTTCAAAATCCAGTTAAACCTAATTTTTTTTTCAAGCCGAAAACGTTTATCCGATTTCACTGGAAGTTCCCATCCAGCTCACAGTCACGCCAACAAAAAGATGCCACATAAACTGTCTGCCACAATTATTGGGTATAGTTTGCAGGATTCAAAGACCACTGGGCCGTTACAAAAACACTCCAGAGCTGTAATGTTGAACAAAATTGTGTGGGAACTCTCTGATCAGTCAAATGGGCAGGCTATTGCAAAGAGCATTTTGGAGGATTGGGGAAGGTTAGGGTTAATGATCAGAGTTGACATGAAACGTCTTCAGATTTTGTGATAAATGCACTAAAAGCAAATGATCCTTCATTTTTCTTTCATGTGATACATGTAGGTACGAGCGATCCTTATGTCAAGTTTCGTATCGCAGGCAAGACAGCGTACAAGAGCACCATCATCTACAAGAATCTCAATCCAAAATGGGACGAGAAATTCACGCTTCCAATCGACGACATCAACAAGCCCTTGGATATCTTCGTTCTGGATCGAGATCGGGGCTTCGCCTCCGACGATCCGATGGGGTCGGTTAGGATCGACCTGATGTCGTTGGAACCAGAATGGTAAGTCGGCAAAGTGGGATTCGAACCCGCCACCAGATGACCCTTGCAAGCTCGGTGGTCAGCAGTTTGAAAAACATCAAAACATCTCACATGTGGGAGTTTGTGGGTTTGAATTAAAATGTTCAATCAAATTATAGGTTTTGCCCTTCACCGACGTTTAAACACTGTACATACTCAGTGTGTCACCTCCCGAGTGAAAGTTGGAAAAAAATCACTCGGGTGGGACTCGAACCCACGACCTCCTGCTTTCTAGTGCAGATGTCGTACCACTCGACCACCGAGCTAACGGGATCGGTTGGCTGGTTCGAATCTGATGTACATACATGTAGTAGCGGGTACCGCAAAACTTTTTTCCAACTTTCACTTGGGAGGTAACACACTGAGTATACAGTGTTTAAACGTCGGTGAACGGCAAAAACCTATAGTCTACTTCATTCACTTACCCAAATAGCTACTACATATGCATATTTATTCAGCCGACAGGCTCAAACGCTAAAAGATTTAATCAACCACCGAGCGCCCTCTCGGGGCCTACCCATCATGCTACGTCATGAATCCGCCATTATACTTCCTCTTTTTTTCTTAGCGACGGCATCGTGCAGAAGCAAATATTTTTGCTCTCGCCTTTTGACGAGTTTTTGTACGATTTTCGCTTTAAGAGTTTCTGTTTTATAGAATTTATCAACCAAGTGAGTTGTGTAGAATCTGTAGAGTTTGTTTTGAGTTAAGTAGTTCTCATTTGGAGTGATTTTGGAGTCATTTTGCTTTCGTTTTTCTTTCACGTGGCGTAGCAGGCTTTTCAGCCTTTGTCTGACACCGCGTGCGGCGGGCCAGGTCGGCACCGCGGGGCTAGCCCAGTGCCGGGTAGGCATCGTGGGCTCTCCCTTTGGGATCGAGTGCAATCCCTTTTTAGCCGAGTCGGCTTTCCTGATTTATTATTATTATTTCTGTTGTACAGTTATCTTATAATAATATTTCTTTGTTAAAAAAAAAAAAAAAAAAGCAGTGCATTTATTTTACGACTCCATAGAAATCCGTAAAGACCTTTAGGGGAGACAGTGCGTCGTATATCCCCGGAGAGAAGTGCGGTTATTCTCCACAAGGTCTGCTAGTCGCCCCACACGTGGGGCCCCTGTTCCGGAAGTCAGACTTTCGGCCGTTCAGGGGACTAGCGAAACGTTTCGAAGAATATAGCGGTTTCGGCCGTTCCCTGTTCTCCGTTCGTTTCCCCTAAGCTCGCGGTGGGCTAGGGCCTAGCGAGACGAGTACAGTGGGGGTATATCGACAGAGGTCGTTCCCTTCCCCCCTGACTGTTTCAGCTAGCTCGGGGAGCTAGTAAGCTAGAAGAGGACGTTTCGTCGGGTATATCGACAGAGGTCGTTCCCTGCCCCTCATCCGTCCTAAGCTATCTCGGTAGTGCGGTGACAAACGAGATAGCGGCAAGATATTCGTGGGTATATCGGCCGCTGGCCGTTCACTTCCCTCGGCCGCCTCGCCGGGCGTGTAAAGAGAAATTCCGTGGGGTACAACGACCAGCGGTCGTTCCCTTCCCCTCGGCTGTTCTCAACTGCATATATCTCAGTAGTACAATAGTACGAAAAGACGAGATAGCAGTGAGTCCCCACGCAGGGACATCGCCGCAGTTTGTAACGGTCATCCCGTGTTTGCGCGTTTTGACCGGCATCAAACATACGTCCTACGGTATGGAACACCGTGAGGATACCGGGGATAAAACTCCCCGTGTAACCACGGCCCCCCAGGCGACCAGCCGTAAGGGTTCCGCGGTTAAAAAGGCCACATCAAAGGCCACCGGCGGTCCCAAGGGTAAGACCCAAAAAGGGACCAATAATCGCTCGATTACGCCGGCGTCACCTAGCAACCCGGCGTCGATTTCCCGTGGTTTCGCGGGAATTTCTTCGCCTCGTCCCCCCGGTCTGCTGGCTCCAGCAACTTTCGGGGACGACCAGTCACGGAGCGGTAAAAGGATTCAATCCTCACCGGCCCCGTCTGCGCGTTCATCGCGCTCCGAGCATCCTGCTTCCACCCGTGCGGAATGGGCAGGACTCGCGGTGACTGACTTGCCTCCTCCCCCAATTCGGGCCACGGACTCGCAGTCAACATCATTCTTCGATCAATGCTCCGGAATTCCCAGGGTATTATCGGAGTTTTCATCCAGTGAATCAAGTCACCCAAGCAAGAAAAGGAAACACAAGGCCGCGCCGTCTTCTTCAGGGGATTCCCCCCGTAAGTCGACGCATCGGAAAAAGAAAAACAAAGGTGTATCCACAGAAATCTTTCTAAAAGCTTTCCAGGACATCAACGTTTCGCTAGCAGCCCTCACTAAACAACAACAATGGAGATCGGCCCCAATGGTGACTCAAAGGTCACTCCCGGCGGCCACATTTCCGGACCCAAATCCGGGTCTAATCCTGCCGGATCCGGGTGTGATCCGGCCGAATCCGGGTCCAATCCGGCCGAATCCGGGCGCGATCCGGCCGGATCCGGGCTTAATTCAGCCGGATCCGGGCGCAATCCTGCCGATTTCGGGCGGGATGAGAGGGGAACACACTGGGCCCCCAGATCCTGGGGTTGCCATCAGTGTCTGCTCAGATAATCCACCTACTCCGGGCCGCGATTGGGCGCCCCCGAGATCACAGGCGGGCATTTCCTTACACCCATCTATGAATTTGGGCACTTCTATTCAAGATGCTCCTGACATAGATGTCGATGATACTCACCCCCCTTCCACTCACTCACAAGATGAGCGCTCTGGGGATGATGAGGCCACTGACCCTGGCAATTTTTCACCATTTGAGACTCAGCTGAGGCTGGTTCAAAGAGATATGGTTCGGGTACTGCAACTACCAGAGAGCAGTAAACCAGAGACCACCTGTCGTTCTTTCAAACGCCGGACTGGCGTGGAGGAACCTCGGGATCCAGCTTTCCCAACTATGCCGGTGGATCGTTTATGCACCGATCGCATACAACGCATCGCCGATTCAAAGAAATGGACGGCTTTCAACAAAAGGTCGGCAGCCTATTTCCAATTTCCAGAAAAGGACCGAAACGATTTCTTTACGGTTCCTTCTATTCCGGATACGGCCAAGGACAAATTGACTGGAGATAGCGGCAAAGCCCCGACCAAGTCAATATTTGTCGATAAGACTAGAGCAAAGATGGAGGATACAATGAAGAAGGTCGATGAGGCAGCTAGATTTGGATCACAAACAAGCGCCTTTTTACTTCTGTTATCTGAATATATCGTCTGCGCATGTGAGGAAGATTCACAAATTCCAGCCGATATGTTAGCAGCGGCCTTCCGGTGTCTGGACGAAATACTCCGTTTCTCTCTAGACCAATTTACGAGAATCTCTATCCTGTCTGCCAAGTCACGTAGGACTAACGTGATGGATGCACTTTACATACCACACGAGGGCGCTAAGAAGAAGTTAGAAGACCTTCCTCTTATGGGCAAAGACCTTTTCGGAGGCAAATTCCAGGAAATTCTGGAAGTTGAAGCCAAACGAATTGAGACAGCAGACAAACTGAGCTTGAAGAAGCCTTCAGCCACTAACAAGCCCAAGTTCTCGGGGAAGAAGGCAACGAAGGGTGCTCCCTCGTTTCGCCCTGCCCTTAAGAAACCATTCAAGCCTTTTCGCCAACAGACGGCCAAGGCATCAGCTGGTGCAATGGTTTCAGCTCCACGCCCCTACTCTGCCCCTGCACGCCAATTTAGCGGCCGGGGACGTGGTGGTGGGCAATCGGCCCCCCGCTCAGGGTGGCGTCGGTGACGCCCCTACCGAGCCGACCCCGACACTGGGGCCCGTCGGGGGTCGTCTCAGAAATTTTGTAGGGCCCTGGAGAGAGATCACCTCCGACGCATGGGTGCTTTCTATAGTCAGCCACGGCTATCAACTAGAATTTACAAGCACCCCTCCGTCGGAAATATGTGTTCGCGAAACACCGGTTCCGGCAAACACAGACAAACGATTAGCTCTCGAACAAGAGATCTCATCCCTCATCGAGAAGAGAGCGGTCCGCTTGGTGCCACCAATGGAGCAGTTCAAAGGCTTCCTGTCCTCCTTCTTTCTAACACCAAAGAAGGCGGCTGGCGAATGGCGGCCGATAATCAATCTGAAACCGCTCAACAAGTTTGTCAGACCCAAACGTTTCCGAATGGAAACTCTCCATGTAGTTCTAGAGTCACTACCCACACCAGCGTGGGGAGCGTCATTAGACCTAAAAGACGCATACCTACACGTCCCCATCTTCCAAGAACACTCCCGATTCCTTCGTTTTCGGTATCAGGGACGCACTTACGAGTTCACTGCCCTTCCCTTCGGGCTATCAACCTCGCCAAGAGTGTTCACCAGGGTTGTGCGGGCAGTGGCTTCACGTCTCCGACGAGAAAACATAATGATTTTTATGTATCTCGACGACTGGCTGATAGTGGGAAAATCAGAAGGCCAGACTGCTCAGAATTTGAGGGATACTTATACGTTGACGACGAGGCTAGGCTTCATCATCAACGAAAAGAAGTCCCACCTAATCCCGTCCCAGGAAATCACTTTCCTGGGAGCGGAGATCGATTTACGCAGGGGCATAGCCGTCCCCACAGGGGAACGTGTTACCAACTTGCTGAAGTGCGTCAAACTTTTCCTATCCGTTCAAGTCGCTCCAGCCCGAGCTTGGCTGAAACTTCTAGGGTTCATGGCCAGCTTAGTGGACCTGGTTCCATGGTGCAGACTGAGGATGCGTCCTTTGCAAATGCATCTTCTGGCACATTACAGACCAAAGACAGATCCAATCTCTCTATTGGTCTCGATCGACGATGTCATTCGGCCACACCTTCGGTGGTGGCTATTGGAACAGAACATTCGGTGCGGACGGAGCTTCCCCAGAGGGGATCCTCACGTCATAATCTCCACCGACGCCTCCAACGAGGGCTGGGGAGCCTCCCTTCCCCCTCGACAAGCTGCAGGCACTTGGGACGACAACACTCGGTCCCTACATATCAATGTTCTAGAACTCCAGGCTGTAGTCAATGCCCTACACCACTTTCAGGCAGACGTAGTGGGTCGGTCTGTTCTAATCAAGACCGACAACACGACAGTGGTAGCATATATCAACAAACAGGGCGGTACAAGATCACCCCAGCTGTGCTACCAGACTTGGGAAATGTTTCAGTGGCTAATCAGACACAAAGTCGATCTACGTGCCATTCACATTCCTGGTGCGGAAAACGACATAGCGGACTCTCTCTCCAGGGGCAAAGTAGTTCCCACGGAGTGGTCATTGAACAGGAGGATCGTACATCAGATCTTCTCGATCCTAGGTCGTCCACACATAGACCTGTTCGCCTCAGCAATCAACACTCAGCTCCCGGTGTTCTGTTCGAGAGCCCATCATCCTCATGCATGGGCCTCGGACGCACTATCAATAGACTGGACAAACATGTTCGCTTACGCCTTCCCCCCGATCTCAATCCTTACAAAGGTCATCGGGAAACTGGAGAGAGACAGGTGCAAGATCCTGCTGATCGCCCCCTTTTGGCCGCGTCAGCCCTGGTTTCCGCAACTGGTGAGGCTCCTAGTGGGCTCCCCACTAATCCTCCCAGATCGTCACGACCTACTTGTTCAACCTCAGTCCCGGTTACGACACCCATCTCCGGGAGATCTCCACTTAGCGTGCTGGCCACTGTCAAGCGTGCCTACCGAGCAGCAGGTCTTTCTGAAGACGCTGCAGCTCTGGCCGCAAAGGGACGTCATCTCTCAACACGACGAATCTATGACAGTCGACTACGACATTATAGTAGGTGGTGCGCAGAACAGGCTGTGGATCCGCTCTGTGCTTCTTTAAGCCATTGTTCGGAATTCCTACTGTCATTGTTCAGAGCCAATTTGTCAGTAGGAACGATACGAAATTATCGATCAGCCATAGCAGCAATTCACAAAGGCTTCGCTGATGGCTCATCTATCTCCTCTAATGTTGCAATCACTAACCTACTCCGGGGAATGTTCAACGAGAGACCTACAATCCGGAAACTGGTCCCATCCTGGGATCTAGGTCAGGTCCTGAACATTTTGGCCAAGGCTCCATACGAGCCCTTGGGCCAAGCACCCCTCATTCATGTATCTATAAAGTTGGCCTTCCTGCTCGCAGGGGCTACCGCTAGGCGTAGCAGCGAGATCCATGCGTTGACTTTAGATTCGGGACATATCCGCTGGGAACCAGGTGGGGTTCGCCTGATCCCAAAGGCGTCCTTCCTGACGAAAAATCAGACGGCAAGTTTCAGCCCTCCTGATATTTTCCTCCCAAAAATAGAGTCAACCTCTTCTATCCCCTCAGACAAATTATGGTGCCCAGTGCGCGCCCTAAAATGGTATTTGGCACGCACTAAGTCACTCAGGGATAAATGCATGCAGCTCTTTATTACAACCATAAAGCCACATGGCCCCGCCTCAAGGGACACCATTGCGCGTTGGGTAGTAGCTGCTATCAAATTTGCTAATGCGGACTGGCCATCCAAAAAGGATGCTTCTGTCCAAGGCCTTGTCCGAGCCCATGACGTACGCGCCGTAGCGGCGTCCTGGGCATTTTTTAGGGGAGTCCCTATTTCAGAGATTTCTCAAGCAGCATGCTGGAAGTCTGCCACGACATTCACATCCTGCTACCTACGTGATGTACTCCAGACTGGAGGGAACACAGGGAAGACGGTACTGACACAACACCAGTCCTCGTCTACGAACCCTACCCTGCGCAGTAGTTCTTCCCGGCCTGACCAGGAGACTAACTAAACAGGTAATACATTTACATGTATATTCAATCTAAATGGTCTAAATCATTATGTATATATATATATATACTGTTGTTTAACCATTTGATTTCAGGGCGTCTCGCCTACCCAGCCACCGATTGTCGGTGCCACTCTATGCATATGTAGTAGCTATTTGGGTAAGTGAATGAAGTAGACTCCCCCCCCACAGAAGTGTGGGACGAGTCTACGAGTGATACTTACCCAAATAGCTTCCCGCCCTCCTCCCCACTCTCGGCTCGCGTTACGATGGTTTTTCACCTTTAGTGCGCGAGAAAAAAGAGGAAGTATAATGGCGGATTCATGACGTAGCATGATGGGTAGGCCCCGAGAGGGCGCTCGGTGGTTGATTAAATCTTTTAGCGTTTGAGCCTGTCGGCTGAATAAATATGCATATGTAGTAGCTATTTGGGTAAGTATCACTCGTAGACTCGTCCCACACTTCTGTGGGGGGGGAATTTGATTTATCACCCCGACGCAAAAATTCCATCTTATAAAATATTCAAGTTTATTTTATACCATTAGAAAGCCAGTACACAACACTTGTGAGTTAATAACAAAACTACCAAATTATACTTAACTTGACTGTAAGTGAATAATAGTCTCAAGCATCCTGTGAAATCGTGGCACCTGGTGTGCAGTCATTGTCAAGAACAATTTTGAATCAATTTCCAACGATGGTCAGCTGACAATCATTGGAAAAAAAAGATTTTTTTTCCCCTTCAAATACTGACCCAAATTTACCAAATATAGTCCACATATCCATGAACAGGTGCGAGCCAGTTACTGGTAGTCTGGTTCCCTGCATGACCTGCAATAACCCGACGTCTATAAATTGCTCCGTTTCGTCTCAATTAGGGTCATATATGCAGAACTTCACTAAATCAACGGTCCCGACATTTGGGTTTCGTTTGTTTTTACTCACCCTGTATTACATTTAATGGGAGCTGTTACAGCTTGTTTACATATAATGTGGCATTCTACCCTAACTGCCCAAGATCATAAAATTGCATCAGAAAAAAGAAAAATAGGCTTCCGAAAAAATCTTTGAATTTTTGCGTTCATACTCCTTCAAGAAAGAAAATAGAACCAGTAAACATAAGAATGCATTTATCAGAATTCATCATATTGAATTTACGTTTTTATAATTTGTGATTTATTTCTAGTTTGAATGAGAAGAAACTGGAGTTGAAGGAGGCGAGCAGTGTGGAGTTTCTCGGCCACATCTTGGTCGACTTCATCATCTCGCCGGTCAAACGGCCCGAAGACAAGGAGAGCATCCGGGTGAGTTTGATTTTAATTCGGCTTCCCTGATAGCCAATGAATCCTCCCTGCATGTCAATCAAAGAGTGCACATTGACCAATCAGATGAAGATATTTGGCCAGGTGGGCGGGGCTAATGGTCAAATGTGGACCAGTCCATTCTTCAAAAAGGTGCTTCACAGAAAATCCTTCATAGCAAAACAAGGGATCAAGTTATGGAACTGCTAAACACTGAAAGTATTGCTTAGCCAAAATGGGTTACCAGCCAGAATCTCATGCAGTGTACATTGCTTTTGACTGGTACTCGGCCAGTTCATGCTTAGCTCACAAATATGCTAAGTAAGATTTTCAGATAAAGACATTTGCGTGGTTAACAGGCCATAATTTCAAGACTCTGCTTACCACAGCATTTCGCGCTTACAATCACCATTTTATGCTAACAGCGCTAGCAGAAAAAATCTGCGCTAACCCTGTAAGCACAGAATCCTTAGCTGCAAGCTGTATGCATGCGCAGAAGCCAAAATTCCTCGCTAACCCATGAAATATGCTTACAGTAAGCAAACAATTTTTTGCTACAGTAAGCAGGTATTTTTTGCTAGTGGTAAGTTTAACCATGAAATCGGGCCCAGGCCATACTATCTAATTTCTGGCCTTGATGGTAAGTATTACCGTCAGACAAAACAAATGACGTAATTAGCCATGCAGGATGAATGACAGTGAATCATCTATCTCGTCTCGTTAGTTAGAGCAATTTCTATAGAACAATGGCCGTGCTAAATTGTCACAAGGCCAGTAGGCCGAGAGAGGCTGTGAAAAATATGGGAATACAGGCTTTGAAATTATGGTGATACTTCATGTGCAGGGTGTCTAAAAATGAATGTAGCAGTCAGATATGCACCGTCGATATCAGAATTTTCAATAAGGCCAAAAAACAAAAGTTCTGCTTCCGATTACATGGCATTCGAAAATAGGGTAGGTAGGTAGAATTTTTATATTTTTTTTGGCCAATTTGTTTTGTGTACAATCGTATGGATGCGTCTGCGTGTAGTCAAGGTTAAAAGGTAGAAATTGATGGTTTTGGGTGTTCTTTTTTTTTTTTTAGGGTAGGGGCTGTCAGAATAGGGTAGGTAGGTATTTTGTTTGGTTGGCCTAATCGATATCGGAAAAACAGTATCGAGAATATTCGATGTATCGATTATCCCATGTAAAAAGTTAATGACCAAAAAGATGACACTTTGATGAAACCCCCCCCCCCAAAAACGAACAATCTTAAGTCCCAATGTTCCACGGCTTTCTCTGGAGCATATTGTTTAAACATTTCAAAACAAATCTCAGCACTGACAGTTTGTCCAGAATGGTGGTTTCTTTTCAGGTTTTACGTTGGGGGAGACCGCAAATTTCAGCGAACGCAGAGCACAAAACGACGCCGCTTGGCATTTCGCAATGTTTATATTTTGAGTCACAAGCACAAGTTGCCGCCTAGTTTTATTTTATTATGCAGCAAACGTTAAACACAAAGTGAAAGCACAAACAGGAGATTTATTTTGATGATAATCTGACGCATCTTTGATATTTCGATTCCTCAATATCGAAAGTTTTGATATTTTGATAGGATTAAAAAATTGCTATCGGAGATATTGATACATGTATATCAAAATAATATTGAATAATCGAGTTATATCGATATATCGACGGTGCATGCTTACTGTCAAACAACTCTTTTTTTTTCTGAGGAAAGTAAATCTTTTCTTGGTAACAAATTTACCGTGAGAAGTGTTTCCTAGCCCGTTACAGGATTTTTGTTCTGTGTGATTTGGACGTTTTGTTTAAAAGTTACGGCAAAGCTTTTTAAGACTGTCAAAATCTGTTTGGGCCACTTTCTTGACCTTCTTGGTATGTTGAATGCCTTTCATTAGATACCAAGTGGCCCAACTTGGAATTCAAGTCCTTTCATTTAATTAGCTGTATCTCTGGACTGGGATGTCCAAATGAGATGGGATAAAGACCATTGTGTAGAGTATTTACTACACCTTCAGAATCTATAGATACATTTTGCAAAAAAGAGAGTGCTAGTATTTTTTCATATTTAAGGATTGAATGCTACATTTTGTTTTGAAACACCCTGCATGTACAAAGCAGAAAAATAAAGTTGAAAGGTTATTATCTCTAAAGTAATGTTTTTTTCTTTGATTTGTACACACTGCTTCGAGTGTTTTTGTCTGTATTGCACTGCAAAATATGAGACTTTTTGAATGATCTCTGAAAAGCAGTTTAATTTTCGTTATATTCATAAACACAATTTAACTTGATTTTAGTTACAGGGCTGTAGAGTGTACTACACATGTTTTTGTAATTCAAAGTACAATAATCTTCCATAATTCATAAGCAAGGAATATCCATTACATACATGTACATGAATTGCTTTTTTGCGGCAGAACATGGCTAGTTTGGATGTACTGGTTTTTAGATCAGAATCAGTCTAAATTTGATCTGTCAAGCTTTGTGGAAACTAGGGACTAGTCAGACTTGTTGCATAAAATTCCCAGGTCTCATCTGGGGACTCAATTTTCGTTGATAGCTGAAAATAATACTTAGAGTAGCAAATTACATGTACAATGTATACATGTACTGGTACATGTATGTGTTCAAGGCCGAGTGGATCATTTGTCATTTGTGCATTTGTTTCGTTTGAAGCAACAAAAGTGCTGAAAATCTAAAGACGGGTGCTTAATAACTAACCTGATGAAGTTTTAACTCAAATGCTGTATTTTCCAGGAAAACAATATTCTAGGATCTCGATTTCAATTGAAAGTTGCCAAGTCATGTTTTGAAATGTGCCTGAAATCAGCATCCAGGACACGTTCTCATTCAGCCAAATGTAGCTGCGTGATGTTACTCATCGAAACAACGAATAATAGCGACTGCGCTTGCGTCTGCGTCGTGTCAGCACTTGCGCGCACCAATTCACGGATTCGTCCAGTTACAAACTAACTACTAACAGACATTCCAGAAATGCGTCACTTGACGCATCTTTGGAAATGACCTTCTTTTGTTGTTTTCTTCAAAATTACAGCTTGCCAGAAAGAATAATTTCACAGGGAGTTTAGTGCCATTACTTTCTTTAAACCAAGTATGCTTTTCAACAATAATTTGGTCAGTTACTTTTTGTAAAGCTGCAAATGATCTACCGGTATTCTACCTTTAAAGCTATAGTCCATCATTTGCAGCCATCCGAAAAAGTAACTGGCGTATTATTGTTGAAAAACATACTTGGTTGAAAGATAGTAAGTGGACTAAACTCCCTGTGAAATTAATCTTTCTGGTAAGCTATCATTTTGAAGTAATCAAGGAAAGAAGGCCTTTCCAACGGAAAATTTAAATTAGTAGTTCGTTTTATTATTCGGCGCAGTGCGCGCAAGCATTGGCACGACGCACAGGTGCGCGCGGTTGCTATAATTTGTCGGATCAGTCATGTCAGTGCGCGACATCGCGTATAGCTGCAATTCAAAACAATTCAAAACATGATTCAGCAACTTTTGATTTGAAATTGAGAACCGTGGTCAGAGTTTTTTTTAGCGTGTGTTCTTTGCTGGTGCTTTTCTTCAAAATGGTACAAATAATGGACATGAAACTTTCAAAAAATATGTCCAAAATACCAGCCTATAAGATTTATCATTTGCACTTGTTTCATGTGTTTTGATAATTGCTAGATACCGGTATTTTTATATTTTCTTGATTATACTTGGGTCCAGATTTCAGATGACCGAAATCAAAAAGCTATTAAATACACATCCCTGTACGTAATTCTGTCTCGGTTTGAAACTGATTATCATCTCAAGTATACATTGTACCAGAACCCAATTTTACACTTGTATTGTATACGACATTCGTAATTGTGACCTGTTCTGTCAAAAGCAGGCGGTTCTGGGCAGAGGTTGAAATTGAGATAGGGCCAAAAAAAACGCTGTGGGGGTGATTTTTTTCGTATTTTCAATTTTTTGCATATTTGTAATCCTGAACATGTCTAAAATATACTATAAAAGTTTGAAATCTTAATTTGAACACTAAATAGAGTATTTTTTGATGATTTGTTAAAGGTAAATCAGTTAAAGAAATTACTGTTTTGTGACGTTTGTGGCCATTTTCTCCGTTGTCTACTGTTCGACACAATGAACTTCAAAATAGCATAACTCTGCCCAGGAATGACCAGTTTCAAAAATTAAACCACCTATCAAAAGGGAAAAGAACATTTTTTAACAATATGCAAAAATCTCATTTTTGACCTTATGCCCAGAAAAGTCTGATTTTGACAGAACAGGTCACAATTGTGAACCAAATTGGATTTGCCGTTTTTGTCAATTCAGCACTCAAGGTTTTTCTCTACTAGCCAACATATTCACCGTGTCCACAACAATGATCTCATCTGATGAAACCTTCACTGTAAATAAAGACGGAACGAAGTTGTTTAGTCCACGGCTGTCTGACAAACAGACAGATCGCTTCCCCCTCTCTTTCCATAACAAGATCTCGTCCCACATTCTTCCTTCACGGTAGCGTGGAGTTGAGGCTTTTAAGTTTCAACAATTTGTTGATTGCATCTGAATGCTGCCTCGCTGTAATCAGATTAAGCAAGATTTTTTATAGGTCCTCAGGCGAATTTTTAACTGCGGGTATCCTCCTACATACCGAAGCCTATATTAAGCTTATTGACATTTTTGTTACTTTTTTATATTTTTTTTTTAGATTGAAGACATCTTTACTCATAGGTACATGTACGTACATGTACATGATGTATATGGGCCTACATGTACATGTACATGTACGTCATTCATAACTCCTCCTTCATATAACCTCTGAGGTAGTGTGACAATTTATCGATTAAAATTAAGGGAATAAATATGTGCTTGGTCAGTATTAAACACTCTGTTTACGACCATTTGGAGTGTGGATGCTGATAATTACTTGAGCCGAAATTATCAGCATCCAGACTCCAACTGGTCTTAAACAGAGTGTTTAATACC